AATGCAGATTACCATGACTGTAGACTGGGCATAAATTAGACATGCAAATATACTCACATTTTTGCATACAATCATAGAATACTTGGACTGGAAGGAACCTCAAGAGGTCATGAGTCCAGTCCCCTGACCTCATGGCAGGACTCAGTACTGTCTAGACCATCCCTGATAGACATTTATCTAACCTACTCTTAAATATCTCCACAGATGGGGATTCCACAACATCCCTGGGCAATTTATTCCAGTGTTTAAACACCCTGACAGTTAGGAACTTTTTCTTAAAATCCAACCTAAACCTCCCTTGCTGCAGTTTAAGCCCATTGCTTCTTGTTTTATCCTCAAAGGCCAAGATGAACAAGTTTTCTCCCTCCTCCTTATGACACCCTTTTAGATACCTGAAAACTCCTATCATGTCCCCCCTCAATCTTCTCTTTTCTAAACTAAACAAACCCAATTCTTTCAGCCTTCCCTCATAGGTCATGTTCTCTAGACCTTTAATCATTCTTGTTGCTCTTCTTTGGACCCTCTCCAATTTCTCCACATCTTTCTTGAAATGCGGTGCCCAGAAAGTTTCAGGAAGGTATCTTTGCATGGATGTGATCTGTTGGTGTTGCACCTAGAGATTAAATCAGAGACAGTAAGCATTTGTTCCTAGCACCATTGAATGTGTTATGTCCTGTCTCTCACCCACTGTCTGGATCGTTAGCTCTATGGTGACCTTTCTCCAATGGGCTAAGCTGGGTGGGGTGGGTAAACCTTCATGTACTGTATCTGACATAGACATAGATGTTTTGTGTGCCTGTTCCAGACTTGAAATTTAGAATAGGGATTCTTAACAGAATGTCATAGCCTGTCTCAGAAATTTTTACCCTACAGTGTACAAACTTAATGAGTGTACTCTCTATATCATCATCTAAATTGTTGAAGATATTGAACAGAACCAGTCCCAAAACAAACCTCTGTGGAACCCCACCTGTTATGCCTTTCCAGCATGACTGTGAACCATTAATAACTACTCACTGAATATGGTTATCCAACCACTTATGCACTCACCTTATAGTAGTCCCACCTAAGTTGTATTTGTCTAGTTTATTGATAAGAATATCATGCAAGACCGTATCAAATGCCTTACTAAAGTCTAGGTAGGCCACATCTATCGCTTCTCCCTTATCCACAAGACTTGTTATCCTATCAAAGAAAGCTATCAGATTGGTTTGACATGATTTTTTTCTTTACAAATCCATACTGGCTGTTCCCTATCACCTTGCCACTTTCCAAGTGTTTACAGATGATTTCCTTAATTACTTGCTCCATTATCTTCCCTGGCACAGAAGTTAAATTAACTGGTCTGTAGTTTCCTGGGTTGTTCTTATTTCCCTTTTTATAGATGGGCACTATACTTGCCCTTTTCCAGTCATCTGGAATCTCTCCTGTCTCCCATGATTTTCCAAAGATGATAGCTAGAGGCTCAGATACCTCCTCTATCAGCTCCTTGAGTATTCTAGGATGCATTTCATCAGGCCCCGGTGACTTGCAAGCGTCTAACTATTCTAAGTGATTTTTAGCTTGTTTTTTTTTTTCTTCTCAACCTACTCCCTTCCCACTAGCATTCACTATGTTAGGCATTCCTTCATCAGACTTCTCTGCCATTTCCAAGTTTCCTGTTACTGTTTATCCCTCCTCACTGAGCAGTGGGCCTACCCTGTCCTTGGTCTTCCTCTTGCTTCTAATGTATTTATAAAAAATCTTCTTGTTTCCCTTTATTCCTGTAGCTAATTTGAGCTCATTTTGTGCCTTTGCCTTTCTAATCTTGCCCCTGCATTCCTGTGTTGTTTGCCTATATTCATCCTTTGTAATTTGTCCTATTTTCCTTTTTTTTTTATAGGACTCCTTTTTTATTTTTAGATCATGAAAGATCTTGTGGTTAAGCCAAGGCGGCCTTTCGCCATATTTTCTATCTTTCCTACGCAGTGGAATAGTTTGCTTTTGGCCTTTGAATGTCCCTTTGAAAAACTGCCAACTCTCCTCAGTTGTTTTTCTCCCTCAGTCTTGATTCGCATGGGACCTTACCTATCAGCTGTATGAGCTTACCAAAATCTGCCTTCCTGAAATCCATTGTCTCTATTTTTGTTTAAAAAAAAAAAAAAGCTTCATCCAGCTCTTCTGCCTGGGTTAGGCGGTCTATACTAAATCCTTAGCATGACACCACCCTTATTTGTTAATCTCCTTTAACCTAACCTAGAGACTCTCAATAAGTCTATATTATATGTCCATCTCCCCCTCAGTCCAACTGTACACATTTTTAATATATACGGCAACACCTCCTCGCTTTTCTCCTTGCCTGTCCTTCCGGAGCAAACTGTATCCTTCTATACGAATATTCCAATCGTGTCTGTTATCCCACCAAGTCTCTGTGATACCAATGGTGTCATAGTTGTGTTTATTTACTAGCACTTCAGATTCTTCCTTCTTATTCCCCATACTCCTTGCATTTATATGTAGGCACCTAAGATACTGATTTGATTTTGACACCCTAGTTTTGCCTTCTCCCTCCTTTCTCTCTGCTATTATAGCCCATGCTCCCTCCCATTTCTGACCCATCTCCTACGTCTCAATGTTTTTCACTTACCTGTGGGCTTTGGTCATCTGCACCCGTTGAACATAGTTTAAAGCCCTCCTCACTTTTGTTAAATCCTTGCCTAGCTCAGAAATGGCTGCATCGATGTTGTCCGTTTTATACATACATGAGAGCCAAACATTCCTTTGAGGATGAAACTCGCAAGGTTACATTTTAAAGACATCCTCAACCAGCCTTTTACTGGTGCTGGAACTCATTGTGTGGGCAAACGCTAGCAGGTGCAAGCAAGTAGACAGATAACTGGAAAAAATACATTTTGCACCCTCTGCTTCCTCCCACCCCATCACTTTCAATCAGTAGAGCTAGACTGAGGCCCTAAAGATGGGGCCTTGTTAGTAACACCTCTGAAGTGAAGGTTAGAAAGAAGCACCGTAACATCTCGGATATGGGCCCCCAGAAGGCAGCATATCTCCCAAGATGAAATGTCAGGGTGACAGATGGGCGCCTCTGTCCCCCTCAGAAGAGTGTCTCCAACCACCACTAACCCTAATTCCTATTTGTAGTGGGAGCAGCACTACAGATTGTGATTTTATTTGATAAACTAAACAAATTAAATAATTTTGCCCCCACTCTCACCATTAAGCAGCAGCAATTTCTCTAGTAAAGGGAGAACTGTCTTGCCACCTTGAATTCAGGGAACAATGTATTTAAAAG